GATGAAAGTGAACACATGAAGGACACATTTCAATTCACGTTAGTAATAAAAAATGAAAACGAATGTTTATAAACATCCGCCTGTGTAATTGGAACGATTTAATACGTAACGTTAAGGTTTCACTTCGAACAGATATTGCATGTTCTTGAATTCATTAAAAAATCTATTGTAATAAATAGTTCTTAAATTCATCAAATTTATTGTAAATAGTTGTGCTACTTGATAATAAAGTTTATTATTAAACTATTGTAGACACACATAGTACATATATATTTGTTGTGTTATACAATGAGAGTACAATAGAAAAGAACGTTTGAAAGCTAAAGAAAATTAATTTTTCATACATTCGTCTACGCTCTAAATACGTTCTTTAGCCTCCGAATGGAAATTAAATAAAAAATACAAAAAACCTTTTGTTCTCTCTTTGCATGAACACAAAATAGATATTTAACTTAACGAGAATGAAATATTTGCTCCTTTTATGCTACTTGTTTATGTTTGTCCAAAACGTTATCCTCCTCTGTTTCAACGGATCATCGTTGGACTGATAAACCGCTGTCAGAGTTTTATCTCTTTCTACAGTATGGAACACGCTTCTGTAGACTCGCCATTGGGATTCCAAACCTGGCTTGTAGGAAAAAGAATAGAACAGCGAGTGGCGCCTTAACGCGCAAGGGACTGGCAGCCACGACTAGTTGTCGCTCTTCACGGAACTAAATCCTACCTACTTAAGCGGCTCAGAACAGCTCCCGATACGATGGATGGTCGTGAATATGGAGGTCAATTGGCTGGCCCGAGGCGTCTCTCAGTGCGAAAGAAAACCTTAATCCGTCCTAGGTTTTACGCTCTTTCCACAACGTTGTTCCCTTTTCTCCCCTCCTCCTCACCCTCTTTTGTTCTTCATCTTTAAATGCGTCCTTTCTACCCCTGCTATGTAGATTTAAATATCGCAACATCGAACAGGTATGTGATTTAAGCTTCGTGTCTCACGTCTAATAACTAACTCTTTTCGAGTGAAATGGAACACGCTGGTTGACAATGAGTGATTCTTTTCGTAGAGAACTACATGAAAGTATTTCGGTACTTGTTTCTTTACCTATTTATACCTTTATTCTTTCTATAATTCTATAATTCTTTTGATTTTAAAACATTCTTATAAAAATTTTTTATTACAACTGTAAAGTCAAAAACTTGATGAAGAAAATTGTTTAAGAAACATTTGTTTATATCTTCTTTCAATTTGCAATGCCAAACGTTAATAATTCCATGAATTGTCATTAAATCAGTGTATCACTTTCATGAATATTAATAAAAACCGAGAGAACTGCAAGGAGTATCTCAAATCAGAGAGATAGAGATTCTTGTGAGTGTTGAGTTTCGTGTCAAATTACTATCTAGTTCGGGAAGTCGCACCCGAACATTCCGAAATAGAGAACTGAGAGGAATAGGACGACGAGTACCCGGGCGGCTCGTCGTAAGCGTTTTGAAGTTCGCGTGAATTATTGCGGACCATCGGCATGCCTTCGATGGGTTCGAGCGAGAAACTTCTGAAAGAAAAAGGAGACAGCGCGAGGGGTGGAGTGATGGGGGGAGGGGAGGGGAAGGGAGACGGAGAAAGAAGCGTCGAGGAGAGAAGCATCTGCTCCGGGATGCATTCGGTGCTGATAGCTTTGTCGGCTTCCCGCATCTACACGCTCCTACGCGCTGAGCCGCTTAAGAAGCCTTCCTTTACGCTCCCGCCACTTCACGAAGCATCCCTGTCCCGCGCGCTATGCCACCCCATTGTAAAATCTTATAATTTCGAGGCACGCTGCGCTTTACCGGTCGCTAAGATGGACGGTCATCTAACACTCGATATACTATATCGTCAAGAAAACGTTTTCCGATTCACGACGGCAAGTCAGAGGAAGCAGAGGATTCCGTCGTTTTCCACATTGCGACGTATTAGAGAGAATTGAATAGCGTCGTCATTTACGTCGGACGTTCTGGGACTATTCGAAACGATTTTTTACTCCGACATCGTAATAAATATAAATTTAATAATACGCAACATAATATTATGTGTTCAAGTATTCTAATTATATCTTAACGCTAATAAATTAAACACAACTTTGTAAACTATTAGTTACTCACAAATTTTAAGAACATATTTGGTCAATCTATTCGCATGAATAAATTCTCTTCATAGAACAGCTGCGACTCCATTTCATCAAATTATCATAAAATTATATGTAAAATAAAAATAATATAGGATAATAAAATTTACACTTTAAATTTACAAGGGAAAGATAGAGAGAGAGAGGGGGAGGAGGAAAATAAACGTGTATATGTAATTTTCTTTATTCGTAACTATCTTAAAGATGAAAACTGTATTGTCAATTTGCATAAAAAAAATATTTAAATTTCGATGTAAACCGGTTTAATGTCTCGTAACGATAATGGTACTGACACTTTTACGATTACTACGAGGTGTACGTCGCAAACATTTACAGTAAGATCAAATGTATGTCATCGTGTCAAAATATATCGTTCGTGACTTATCTTCCTCGCTCGTGCACTTTGTAAGCGTATCCCGAAAATCCACGGTTTATTTCTGATCAATTCACCTTATGTGCGATTTTGTAAACGCAATAAGACACCATTAGGTAGGTATATGTTCCCGTAAAACGTCTCGGCTCTTTATGTATAGCTGAACTCATCGTTGAACCCATCGAGATAATAAAAGCGTTTCGGAAATGTTTACCTACGTTCTAACGACGATGCAGTAATATTTTCGTGACATCCAATTAAGTATCGGTATAACATTTGGAATGCATAAAATTGTTTAGGCAACTTTCGTAAATGGAGGTCAAATGCACGCTCATTTGATCAATTTACAAGCCGCAATAAAGGTATTACCGCAACGAATTCTTTCGATTCTTTTGACCGAAACTCGTATACAATTTTGTTATTGTTGCATAACGTTGTGAATTGAGTGTTTCTGTAAATATGTATGTTTAAACAATCCAAATACTACATATTCCAGATTATTTTAAAATTTGGCCTTTTAATTTTTTTTATTACAATACATTAATACGAAATTTTTATTTCTATTTATATTTAATTTTTACTACTTTCAATAACTTTTAACACTTTTAAAAGAGATATGGAACGCGAGATAAAGTAGAGATACCGGATCCGGAAATTTCTTTAATTTTTTTTTCTCACAACGCTCGTTTCCGTTTACTCGTGAAAATTTTACCTCCTTTAATATCGTTTCATTTTTAAAAGAAATTCTCTATAGACTGCGAGGTATGTACACGTTGCACGACAAGATGGATCTTTTATCAGCAAAATGGCCAGTCCTCGATATTGTATTCCTATCCCGGCTCGTCGACCGACTCGCTGACGTGTAGCGCGGATTAGCTAAATGTGCCACAAGCGAACCGCGAAAGCTCTTCCTTTTTTTGCCGTGCGAATCGCAGCGCGCCACGCGAGGCTGCTGCTCTTTTTGCTTCTTTTTCTTGCGCAAGCTCCTTTCAGCCTCGGTTCGAAGAAAGGAGCTTCCGCTTGAATCGCGCCGTTGTGTCGTGCGACACGCGAGCCGCGCCTACATTCCGTTCAAGTTTGAATTATTCTTTTCGTCGTCGCTACAAAGAGATCAATATTGATCCTACGAAATCGGATGGAGAGAACGAATGGAATAAATCGACATCGGTACTTTCACTTTCAATCAGGGGTTGCGCTTTGCATTAATTATGTAATCACTACAGCAATCAGATTTTGTATTCGTTTGCGATTATATGAGCGTCGCGTTTAGCGTTCACGCAAATATACCTATAGTGTTAGAAAACGCCGATATTATTTAATCTAATTTATGCACTAAAGTGACAAGACAATATCGATAAATAGCCGACAAAGGATAGTTTTTATTGCAAATTATAATACCATAATGTTGAATGTTTCACGTGAAATGAGACGCAGTTACATTTAGCAAATATATAATAGATATGTTATCTTTATCCACTTTAAACTACAATACTGAAGTCCAAATGGCATTAGCTTTCACTTTCGTTAATATCTTCGATCGATCGATCGATAATTTTCCGGTAATGTCGAAAGACTTAAGATATTGATTTTTACATTAACGCAAGCGAGTGTATAGTTGTTTTAATATAATATACTTTTTTTTTTACAGCAGATATTTTAACCATAATATCGATTTTCGTTCCCAATATTTATAGAAATATTTTCGTAATTATCACTAAATGTCCACTTTGAAATTATTTTTAAAAGATTTATGTACGCTAATAAATAATATACAACAATTAATAACAAAAATATTGCAACTGACATTTATATAAATATTTGTGAGATATACAGGAACAATTAAGTGTAATAAATCTCCTTCAAATTTCTCCTATTATTTCAGATAATTTTATTATATAAAATCTCTAGTTCGATAACAACTGACTTCATTCTATAGAAATTATAATTTTATATAGATAAAGATCATAAGAACGGCAAAAAAACGAGATTTTTTAATTTAAAGTTGCTGAAAGGGTGAGAGGGAAGGAGAGAGAGACTTAATTCCGCGTCGCTCCGTTTATTTTATAATATATTACCATGAATGTGTATTTTACAATGAAATCTAATGGATTAGTTTCTAGAATTGCCCCACCGAGAAACGCTATTTGGTACATTAAGAAAAAAAAAGGGAGATTCTAATTGCTCGGATAATGCCGCGCTTTTTTCTGGCTCGAGTATGAAAACGGTAACTGCTGTGATATTCAATCCGCCATTCAGCAGACGTAATCTTGTCAAACATTGATACAGTCGTGCGCGCGACGTGTCTTATAGAGACCAGACAATTTAACGAGACTTTCAGGCAAAAAGCTCGCTCTCGTTGAATCGTAATGTCGGATAATGTGGCGAGAATGAATCACACCGACCCGACGAGCGCGAAGGAAATATTTACTTCCGCGAGAGACGCGCGAGCTTCAAACTTTAGTCGGGCCAAAATGCCGGAGCAAAAAGCTGTCAGACGAGCCAAAATTTTATTTGATCATCCGACATCATCGTCCCTATCAGCGTTGATAAAGGCGACGTCCAGCGTTTATTCCAACGAGATTAAAAACACTAACCGGACGAAAAGGTGAGTTAATCTAAAATCTAAAAAATTTAAGGGGATGAGTTATTATATACGCGAGTGAGAGTTCGACGAACACGAGACTCCATTTACTTTAGAAAACTCCATTTACTGTCGATTCAAATTCTGCTCGGTGGGTCAGCTCGGCTTTGCATAACAACACTTCGACGCTTTTCAATCTTGGAACAGTAGCGCGTACATGACAATACAAATCGCAGATGCGTTTTCTTCGAAACCGGGGTTTTTCCAGAAAGTATAAAGCTGCCGTAAAAGAAATTAATTATTATTATAGAGAACGAGAACATAATAAAAACGCCTAATATTCTAGAATCACAAAGCGAACAGATGACGTGTCTATGCTTAATGTCGAAAGAGTTATGTATATATATGCGAATGTAATTAAAAATTATCACGCAGAAAGTATTAAAGACAAAATAACATTTTACTTCGCAAGCACTTTGTCGTTAACGAATATTACCTTCAACTGTGTTTGAGAGAAGAGAGAACCTTTTTAAAAATGTATAATATCTTTAATTGTGTTATTATTGAGAGAGAGAGAGAGGGGGGGAGAAAGAGGAGGGAAGGGAAAAGCTTTTTAATAATATAGCAGTCACTGTGATTCTGGTTCGGAGTACAATACTTTGTGCCTCTAGAATTAAAATGACAAATAACAAATATTTGTATTCTTTAATAGAGAATAATATCTTTTGTCCCCTCATCATTGTTCCCATCACGCATTCATCACTTATTTTCTTTATTTTGTCTTAATTCCTTAATTGTGCCGTGTCACTTTTTAATGAAATTGGAAGGCGACTCTCTGTATACCTATAGTAAAAATTATAATGGACGAGCGAAATGCAGCCTGGCCGTTCGCCGTTATTTTTTTTTTTTTTCGATTTCGGTTATACACGTTTAAAGCTATCGGCTAAGTATACTTAAATTGAAAGGCTATAGTACACCCATTCTCATCCGATGGAATCCGAACCAAACTTTTCGCTGCGCGATGTTTCTAGCCTCTGTCGGACATTGCGCAGAAATCGACCTAATCGATACCTCGTGCGGCAGTAGGAAGAGTCCCCGCCGTTCTCTACAGGAGACACGTTCGAAGTGTCCTCGAATATTCCTTTAAAGCGACGGTTTACTCAGAAAGGAGGACGATGAGGCGAAGGGAAACAGCTCGAGAGAGCTGGAACGTTTTCGAGATTTAACGCGGAATACGAGGGAATGAGAGATGTCGGGATGTCTGTCAATTTTGAAAAATTGCGCGTCGCGCATATAAGTGGCCGCCATTAGAGACATCTCCATCCGTGACGACGACGAACGTATAAGATACATCTTTTCGATTTTATGTACATATACATGAGGCGATGCGGAGTGTTCGGCAACTACCGGTCCACTTTGTTTTAAATATACGGAGAATATTTCGTTGTTACTAATAATCCAGACATGTATTTTGCTTGTTTCATGAAATTATTTAACTATTTAGATTAACTATATAATACAAATAAGAAGAAAAAGGATATTTCAAGTAGAACATAGAAATCAGTTAAAATGTTAAATCATCCATTCAATCCATACAACATAAAAATTTGCAAAAATACTGCTGCAACGTTTGCAATGTTACCGTAATATTGCTGGAACGTTGCAATGTTGCTGCAAGTTCTGTGTTGTATGGAATAATAATACCATGAGGACATCATCATTTAATTGTTACTTTACTTATCACTTATAAATTCGCTTATAAACAATAAATGAAGTAATAATAATGTTCTGCAGCAATCTCTTGTCCTATCTGTAAAAGAACAGTTTTGCTAAAGTATTAGATATACTTAAAAATTTATTATACCTAAGTATACAGATCTGAAAACAATTTTATTAGATTACCAAAATTATGTAAGACATTCAAGTTGGTTGCTGGATCGTCAAAACTTTTTACAGCGTTGCTCATTACGTTCAAGTTTCCTGCAGAATTATTTTAATGGTATATCAAAATTGTTTTTCACAATTTACATCTGTATCTCACTTTTTAGATACTTTAGCAAAATTGTTCTTTATGTACATAGATAAGTGTAATTCATTGAGATGCTCTGAAATTTTATTTTCAAAAAATATCACATAATATAAAAAATTACTACAATATTCAGCGCAGCAGCTCGCAGCAACATTGCTGCAACAATTGCAATATTACTGAAACGTTGTAATATACAGGACGCATATTAGGTATATTATAGATTTTTGTATGGATTTAAGAATATGCTTCCTGGTCGCGCAAGTCACGTGAGACAGTGCAGGGTCGCGATAGATATATCGCCGTCGGCACAACGAAATCGTGAGAGTCGAAGGAACAAACTTGAGGAAGAAAGAGAGTCTCGCGGAGAAAGGATATCGCGCAAAAGTTGCAGTCGAGCGGACGCGGGCGTAGCGTGCCACACGGACACGACATAGATACCCGGCCCTTAGTTACCGCTCATCGGGTAGCATCACGGCAGCTCGCAGATTAACGGAAGAGAAAGAGAGCTGGAGCTGCGAGAGAGGGAGGGAGAGGAACGATGGAAAATATGTCGGCGAAGACGAGCAGGCGAATACGACGATATATCGGCGGCGATGGAGGCAGACAGAGAGAGGAGAGACAAGACAAAGGAACAACGAAGGGCAACCCGGTGGCGTACAAAGGAGGGTAGCAGGAAGAAGGAAAGCGCAGGAGCAACACGGAGGAGAGGAAGAGAGAGATAGAGAGAGAGAGAGAGAGAGACAACGTGGCGTCGGAGGGAGGAGAGCGACGCGATGGTGGTGGACAGGCTACGGCGGAGGAGAAGGATGCGTGGAGTCGCGGAGGATAGGCAGGAGAGAGGATAGGCACACGCGCGAATCGATTAGGTGCGCGTCGGCCATTTTGTTGCCGGTTCGCCGGGTGGCCGCGGAGGCGTGGATCCCGGACGGCGTCGACTCCGCCGCGAGGACGAATCGGTCGCTGTCGCGCGCCGCTCTCTCGCGTTCGATAGGAACGCCCGAAGGAGGGAGGGAAAGTTATAGAGATATCCACACCGCGAGGTCCTGGGTTGAAGGTAGGGGAACACCACGGGTCTCTCGGCGGTGGGAGCGAGCGAGAGAGAAACGGAGTGGATAGTGGGGATCTGGCAGTGTGGGGTCCGGTTAGGTTGGGTTGGATTCTCCAGCAGACTATAGCGAGACATCTAACTGGCAGTCAGTGGCTCCCGGGGCCCCGTGTCGTCAGTCTCGTTGGAGTGGTTTCGTGCAACCGTGTCGTCTCTCTCTCTCTTCTCCTTTCTCTCTCTCTCTCTCTCTCTCTCTCTCTCTCTCTCTCTCTCTCTCTCCTCTCTCTCTATCTGTCTCTCTCTCTCTGGATGCCTGCTCTTTCTCTTTTCACCTGCTCCCCTCTTATCCCTTCGACCCCTTCTTTCCTCTGATCACTATACCTTTCTTCGAACGTCTCGTCCAGCTTCTGCCACAATGATTGTTTCTTTCGTTTGCTCTTACCGTTGTCTGTTGTCTACGTTCGACTCGTCTCTTCAAAGGTTACAGTAACGGAATATCTGTCGTTACATCGTGCCACTTCTCACCCGACGCTGCTGATGAGTGACGAGAACGTAATTGTGTCGCAATTCTGGTAAGGGACCGCGAGCAGTCGATTTCGAAGCCAGTTACTCCGGCAAGAATTGATCCGAGACATCAGGAATGTTCTTCAAGTTCTGCACCGTCATCGATCATGTCTGTGATCGTATTTGCATTTGACAACCACGAGAAACGTCCCTCGTCGAACTCGCAAGATAAGTTTCGCAACATTCAAGGAGTGCGTGTCGAAGTGTGGTGATTCGACGGAGATCCCGAAGAAGAAGAGTGGAGTCGAAAGTGCTAGGTGAATTGAAGGAATTCTCGACGAAGCAAGAGATCGCGGAAATATAAAGAATGGCGAGTTGCGAATAAAACTTCCAACGAAACGAGAGGTCGTGAAGGCGTTAGTTCAATTGGACGGGCGACAAGCCGAAATAATATAGATATACGTAGCGCCAATTTCAACTGCCTTCGAAATTGGCAAACACTTGCCAACGAACGTTTCGAATATTTATCGATGAAACAATAATACAGATCTTTGTTACGTTACTTTGACATTGAAGACTTTAGCGGTAGTCATGCCTGAGTCTCTGGCTTCTAAATCGCATAAGAATTGAGTTTTAATCATTCGATGACACTGGAAATCGACAGAAAAATCTGAAACTCTTACATTTAACGCGGGGACGACTCGACATCCCCGGTGAGCTTCGGTAGCGCTCTGAAGGTATCAGACACGTCGGGCCGAAGTTTCGCGAGTTTAAAGGGTACGGCCGGTGGTCGGCGTACGAAGGCTTCAAGATTGCTCGTAAACCGTCGCGCGAGGTGCGCAGGAGCGGCAGAGCTGCGGAAATAGGGGCTGCCGGTGTAATGCAGCGGGTGGGCGCAGCCGGGGGGCCCGGGCCCATCGGCTTTCAGGGCCCTCCGAGATCGCTGAAAATTTCACCGGTCAACATACAGGACGAGCCGGCCGACCCCACGCAGAGTGAGTACTTGAGCCTCTTTCTTCAGGTTTCACGCAGAGATTTCAGATATGCGAATCTTTTATAGCAAAACTACTTGTAAATATGTAAACTTCAACCCTAAGCTGTAGACCTGACACGAGGACCTATTGAACTTGTCCAATTAATGTCCTTTCGGAATTGACAGTTTCATTGGACCCTTCTCTGCAGTGACTGATTGGGTAGCAAAGATGGGTAAAAAATGACTATGTTCCGCAGAAGAAGCAGTTTTGCAAAAGTCTTTAGTATGATGATTCATCCTGTCCATAGTTCCTTACTAATCCAAGTGTATATAAACTAAAGAATTTTACAATAATTGCAAAATTTTCTGCTGAAATTAACTCAGAAAACCATTAACTCAGCTTTCTTTGTAATAATATTAAGAAAAAAAAGTATATTATTATATAATTAAAATTACTATTAGTTTTAATTCTTTTATCTATCTGTAGCACTCGTCATTTTATGATGCACCAAAATGTCAAGCAATTCAATTTTTTTATGTTAGATCTGCAAACTTGGATTATTCTTATTAAAATATAATAAATTATTCATTTTTTTTTTATATTAATTATATCATTTTGATTTCTTTAAATTAAATAACGCCTTTTAGTCAATATACATGTATTAAAGTCTCACAGACCCTGCAGTGTCAATTAACTGTGTTACAGATTTAGGCATCAGCTCCGGAGGATAATACCAGAGCAATCAATTCATAATCTCATCGATTTTCTTATTTCATAGAGTTTTGTTACTTTTTATTTCATAAAGTTGGTCAGAGTGAAAGAGAGAGAGAGAGAGAGGGGGGGGGGAGGGAGAGAGTCTGACTTCCGAGAGGCTCATATGATACTAAATATATAAAAGGGAGTTTCGCGACGCGTAGAAACTAATTGCCGTTTTATGTCCCTCATAAAGTAAGCTTAATAAAAGCATAAAATCTGTGCGAAGCAAGATAGACGCGCCGCTTGATGTGCACAATAATACACGTTTTAAATACAAAATTAATGAAATGGAGTTACTCTGGTCACCCGAGATAGGATACTTTCCGTTCCTTCGGTTCCATCGATCTTGATTCGCAAAACTCGCGTTGCATGCGCAACGAATCGTTTTTAATTTTCGTCCAGGAAGTGAATAAATCTCGTCCTGACCGACTCCATTAATTCTACATTGCAAATAATCTTGTTCGATTGAAAGCGATTTTTTTTTAACGATAATGGTAATTTTTTTCTATCAATTAACTACGATTTGCATGGCTTGCTACATCGTCGCTGTTTAAACGTTTAAAAAACTCGATCGCTTGAAAATTAACTTAACGTGTCACTTCATTGCGCGCACGTCGTAATCATTAGATGGTCAAATAATCCTCTCGTATTCTCATTATTTTACCGAATCCACGTTGGCATAAATCAGAAGGCAATTATATTATTAAATAATATAATGGAGATGTCGGATATATATATTACATATAAAATTATAGTTAAAAATTATTATTTAAAAAATATATATTACGTTTCTTTTTCAATATCTTTAACCGTTTAGCTGCAGTTTTCACGATTTGATCTTGACATTTTTGTATTCCGCTTTTAAAAATTATTTTCTTGGTGTTCGAGATCCAATTTATCCAATTTTATCATTACCCTTTTCTTCTAAATGATAGCAGATACCTCTCAGATTCGAAATTACAGAGAGCAAAAAAGAAATCCAGCGGTACCGGATATCACGTCGTTCCGAATGATTAGGTCGAGCGTGTCTCGCGTTTGACGCAAACTTCACGCACAAACCATGCTAAAGTATATCACACCGTAGTTAAATTATTACCCGCAGCATCTGGAATACCATAGCCCGAGTGCGTAAAAGAATGCAAAACGGCCTCTTTTCACGATGTGACGTTTGTTACAATTCTGTTGGCATTGAAATTACCGGGAAGTCGTCGTACGCGTGTCTAGCCATCGCAGGTGAATAAAATCTTTTTGCCGCGTGATAAGACGACAGTTAAAGTCCGCATGATTTATGAGTGACGACTTGTCGCGTTGCAGCGTGAATCATAAGAAGATTGAGCTCAGCCTGCGCAAAAAAAAAAAGAGGAAGGAAAAAATCACTGGATCCATGGATGCTTTTCGAGCAATTTACAGTTAATGAAGTGCACTTGTGGTAAATAAACCTTGGGACATCGTCCATTACCAAAGACGCATATCGCCTACGTATTTTCCGACGTAATATTGACCATAAATCAAGGATAGATGGTCGCAAGCAGGACAGGCAAGGGTGAAGCGTAACGGACGTGGAACCTGTTAATGTGCTTGTAGAAATGCGCGATCGACAAGATCAATCGTTAATTATCTCGCCGCTTAAAAGCGATCATAGAAATGCCAAAACATGTCTAAGGGAACTTTGATGTAATTCCCATCATTACACGTTATCGGCGCTGTTTATCTGATCGAAGTGGTCTTCGTCAATGTGGCCAAAAATCTTCGTCGACATGCGGTATGCTAATGTTACGTCGTGTGCATAATGATAATGTTAACCCAAGATGCAAATTACCGTGGCAAGTCGCGGCATTCGTTTAGCAGCTAACACGAGATTCTTTATCATCTTACATATTTCTTTATTACAATCTCGGAAAAGTGTCTCCTGAATATCTAGCGATGACAAACGTAATTTTAAATTTCAAAATAATAGAATTAGAAATGATGATCGTCTACCGAATTCTGGTCATTCAAAAAAAAACCATCACAGTACGACGATTATATTCAAGTTACAAATTTTTTTTTATCATATCGTTATCATATCGTTTGTTTATTGAGAGAAAAGTGTTCAGTATTTACGATTTTAATTACATAGGAAAATAATTATGGTTGAGAACTCCATTTTTATAATTATTATTGCTATAATAGTCAGTAATAATGGATGTATTTATAGTTCTGTATAAAAATATAATAATACACGGTCGCTCCCAAAAGCGACTGCAAAATTATAGCCGTTTAACATTATAGCAGTAATAACTATAAAACTGGAGCTCCCAACTGTAATTATCTCTTACCATATAATTGCAATCACAAACACTTTTCTTTCTGTGTAAGATAACATCTCCTCAAGATCGCAAACATTATATATAATACATCAAATAGAACTCAAGATCAAATAATAACAGTCATCAATTATAATTTAATCAAAGATCAATACCGAGTAAATATAAGTTGTTAAATTTAGTAAGCAATAACTCTCTTACTAATTTAATATTTAACAACTTGTATTCGCTCGGTATTTACCTTTCAGTTGATGACTACACATCTACGATACATTGTTTCCAGCATCGCATACTATATTTAGAAACCAAGGTAACGTAAGAATGTGATGAAAAATTACAAAAGAAAAAGATCACAAATAGCGAGATAAATGTGTAGGTACACAATGCAATAAACGTATGGAAAAAGCAGAAAGAAAAGGAGGAAGAGAGTTCATTATAGTTTTCACTTCCATCGATACATGATTTCGATCTCGGATATAAAATTTGCAGTACTTACCACTGAATTCGGAATGGAAATATGTTTGATATTACATTACATAACCCGGGGAACTTATCGTTGCACGATAGAGTGAATGATGCCGCTCACGCAGGAGTCGGCGAGCCTTTTCCATGTGCTCGTGTGCTCATTTATTATTAACGTGAGTTATCGCATTTTCATAATCGGATACATGGAATATTCAACGGCGCGAAACGATTCGCCGATGATTTTCTGTAATTAAATGTTACAGTATTGCGTTTAACACGTGTTTTTCGCGCGCGCACGCGCGCGCGTGCGATCCGACGAAGTCGCAATTATCGCGGGGGCAACATTAATATCAGCTGTATTTATCGCTTATAATTATTGCGGCGCTATATTATTCGCGCGAGAAAGAATGGCGAGCGTGTATATGTACGATCGCACGAGCGCGTCAACGATACGATCGCGGCCTTTAATTTATGCTCGCGATTAATTCGATAATGTGTTCAATGAGGCGGATGAATAATTAAGTCGATGACCGCGATGTAGGTACCGCCGAGAACAAAGAATAATTAAATTAACGGAATTGCGAGATCTCGTTGGTAATGCGAGCTCGCGGTGTAATCTCGATGCGAGACCAAAATGTTCGACGCAACGTGAGAGATCGATGTGAATAAAAGAGATCTGTGTTATTTCATACCGATCTCGATGTCCCTTTGGACGAATAGACATAGTTCGTTAATCGAAACACTTTAAGGCTTGAAAAAACTTGAGCAAATAAAAGTGTCTAGCTAAGTTTAATGGATATTTCAATTCATCTCTCAGTGATAACTTAAATTTGCGACACAGTGATGAATAAGTTTAGATAATTTAGATTTTGATACTTTGAGTTAAGAATACTCAATTTTTTTACTCTGAATGTGAGTTTATAATGATTGAGACTAACAAGGCGGTTATAGTCGAAGTTTCAGTTTTCGACTATAATCGAAGTATGAAAGATGGTCATTTTGGACAAATTTTGTGAATTTGCTAGATTTCTTTATTTCCATCTGACCGCGTAATAAATTTTCCAATTTAGCTACGCAATCGAAAATAAGTTCAGGCAGTTTTTATATAATTCGAGATCAGACCGATGAGAATATAAATCAAACAAATAGTCCTATTTTCTATCAAAGCAGATCATAGTACTTAATAATACTAACATCTAAGTTTTTATAATTGGAAAAAGAAACGTATTTACAAAGATTTGTATATTAATATTCTTAAGCACTAAAATCCTCTTAGGCCGAAAATAGGATTACTTAATTCTCTTCATCAGCCAGTTTTTCTACACGTACATTCTTTCCACGTTTTGATAATCGCTTTCGGTAAAACCAAACCACAAAAGAGAATAATTACATCAAAGTCTTCCTCGAAAATTGACAAGTATCTTCTGCTGTACATAAATATTTCCTACATACATAAATATTTCGAGTCAATAATTTACCGTGTTACAGTCTATA